CGACCGTGTTTAGGTGATCAGTATTGTCCGCCATTAGCCTTTTGTAACTCTAAAACCAAACGATGCCAGTGCAGGCACGGTCTCGTAGGAAATGGCGTCACATGCCGACCAGGTGAGAATACAGTTGCTTTTGCTGTTCACTTTATTCATTAGAATTTATGAAGGAATTAGCTAAGTCTTGACCCTCAAACGGTTTTGTTTTCAGGCAATTCCAACTCTTACCGTTCTTGCCTTCTTTCAAAGTTCCAGTTAAATAAAACTTAATAACGTCTCATTCATTTTAGAATGTTTCATATGCATTCATGTATTTTTTGAACTGGTGCTGACTGAACGGAGTTGCGTTAATACTCTTTTTAGCTACATCGTGTAGTTTAATTTTTGTGAATTTAAACCTAGAATACTTTCTTTAATAACATAGACATTTATAGCTTTGTGGTTTTCTCTTAAAAATTTTAAACGGCTCACTCAGGAAGAAAGTTCAGTTTTAAACAAATAAAGCTTGATTGTTGGAAACTCAAAAAGTTGACCTGCTTCCAATGTAGGGGACTTCCCAACCCAGTTGGTAGTGCATATAAGCGCTAACACAGAGGTTATGGGTTCGAATCCTGTTGAAGCCCTAAAATTGTTTTTCGGCTTAAGTTGCTCTTGCTCAAATTACAATTACCACATGACTGTGATGGTCATGTCTACAGTTAGATTTTTCTCTTGCTGCGTCCTTGCGATTTTTAGCCCTGTTCCCCTAAACGGAGAACCTGTTCACAGGGTACCCATCCTAGGTGGAGTAGCATTGTTTCTGGGGGCTTTCCTACAGAAACAGTGTTAGGTTATGGTGAGCCTATGGTCTTGTGTTAGCCTGAATATTCTTTTTACGCCCATTTATAGCGCCTGGACGGACCGGGTGCAAAAGCAACAGTGATTGTAAGGTATGGGCTGAATGCACGGATGGAACTTGTCACTGTCGGGCTGAGCTACAGGGGGATGGAAATACCTGCAACAAAGGTGGGAAGGTGCATGCCATGGTGCTGTGAGTACTTAGTTTAACTGTCCTTTTTTATGGGATTATAGCAGCTTTACACAGTCGCCCGTACACAAGAAAATTAGAAGGCATGCATCAGTTGTATCGATTCAAACGTTAGCTGAACACGTACACAAATCCAACTGATACATAAAAACATCAACTTTATTTGACACCTGGCTTTTATCAGTAGCTATATATGTTAGCGAATTATGTCTGAGAAAAGGAGAATAAATAAACAGGATACAGGCAAATCTTAAGATTTGTCAAACAAGCAACGAATAGAAAGAGTCAGCAAATTTAAGCTATCGAGAATGATGGTTGAAAAGTTTTGTTTGATAGCTGCGGTGCTCAAACAGCAATTATTTTGAAGGCTCCGTGCAATTCCAGCTGACAGTAAATCAAGAAGACATGATGCATTTTGGATTTTGAATTAACTATGTCGTATAATTACTAACCTGCGTCCCTTGTTTTGTTCCTGCAGCACCGCGAAAGAAGTGCAAAGCAACGCAAGACTGCCATCCTCATGCCACTTGCATGAATGGACACTGTGTCTGTTCCGATATGGCGGGAAATGGAGAGTACTGTAGAAAACGTAATGTCTATTTAAGTAGAAATTAATACATAATATATTTTTTTAAAACATAACATGTACACTGCACTGTAATATCGTAGGATATAAATATTGTCTATTTGGCGAGCTAATTAGGGATTTTGAAATAGCCGATGGGTAGGTGACAACATGCCCTGTCCCTGATGGTCTTGTTTAAGTTGCCCCTGTTTAAGGTAGAGAATGTTGTAGCCCACAGAGTCGGTGGCAAACTCGTTCTTGGAGGCTTCGATCCGTTTGGTCAGCGCACTAAGTATCCCCGCGCTAAGCCAAATAAGGCTATGGCTCTAATTGGCAGCTTGTTCTCTTGACGGCAGCCAGCAGGTTCTCCTTTGCATCGTATAGTGAGACTGAAAATGCACTCGCAGTTGGCACGTAACTCTAAATCTGCCTATCTGTACAACCAAGTAGTATTTGCGCTCATTACTAATCTACTTTTAAATTTTTTCTTGTCCCATTACAACCAGAATGGCTGCCTTGCGTTAAAAATTGGTGCGGTTTAAATGATCATTGTGCGATGGATCCCATTCACCCACAGCATCACTGGTGTTTATGTAGAATCGGAACTGATGAACACGGAAATTGCGTAGGTGAGCAATGTCTAATTTATTCAACAATTCACTTCTTTAAGAAACAGTCCATGGGCAACCATGTTGGAATGAAAAAAGGGTTTTTTCTATTGACCGCCTGCGTTGGCTTAAACAGCTTCGTTAACAAAACTTCATAAAGCAGTACATGTTCGGCCAAAAATGGGTTTGAATAACAAACAAGCAGCGACCGAAACCGGAAACTTGTGATTTGAAAAGCCTTTGGCACCCACCCTTTCAATGTCAGTTTAAATTCAACAATTCACTTGTCTTTATAGTGGTCAATGGCTTTGTTGTTGTTGTTTTTGCGAAAATTTTCCTCGCATCCCTTTCTCTAAGAATTTAGTAGACTGTCTTTTGATCAATTTCTAGATATATAAATTTCAAGAAATTAAGCCACTGCCAAAACGCCTGGCTATACTCTTGGAGTTTATTCGCAATATGTGCCTAGAAATTACTTGATCTCCTGAGATTCAAGGGATTTCGACTTAAAGAAAAGGCTTTCCGACAGTCCGAGGTTATGCGCGCGTGTGACCATCGATCGGTGTTTATGACCTGGTTGGTTCTCCACTGTGTCGGATTGCACTATATTGTTTTAGGGACGCTGTATATTGCGAGACTACGAATGCAAGAGACTGGGTTAAACTTCACGACCGAAACAGTCGCACATTGCAATTGGACAAAAACAATGACACACTGCGCACGCGCAACTTAAAAATTTTGCATTGGTAAACTAAATTTTCCGTCCTGTTTCACAGAATGCTTCTCAGACGGTCACTGTGGAAGCATTAATGGAAGGTGTATAAGAAATAAATGCCACTGCCAAGATGAACTCATTTTGAGTCATAGTCGCTGCATTCAGAATAGTAAGTCAAAATGTCACCCTGCTCACTCTGCCTTACATTCAGTAATTTACGCATTTTTGTGTGTTTATGTATAGCTTAAAACACTTACCGCTAAATCAGATTGTCGCTGTGTCATCTATTGCGGATTAATGCAAAGAAAGTTGTTTCATGATACATTCGCCACTTTAGAAACGAGAAAGAAACTAAGTGCAGTTAACTGTCGCAAAGACACCTTGGACTGTTATTAATGATAGGGAAAAAATTGGCCAATAGCTGACCGGCGTGTCCCGACCAACTATCCCAGAAAAAATTGCGGGACACATTTTTAGTTTCGGCACCAGTCCCCTTATCGTTTCCTTAGAGGTGATTTTTTTCTGTGATATAATTTTCGGTTTAATCCATACACTGCATGCGCACATACATTTAACCATTCAGTATGTCGTGGTTTCTGATTGATGCGCTTTCGTGAATTGCGTAGGTCGGTGAGTTCTTAGAAACTCACAAGTTTCCATCAAATCATTGAATCATGACACGACTCACTGCTTTCAACAGTTGCTGCACACAGTTACGATGTGATCATCATAAAAATGTCAGAACACAACAGTACTTTGCTTGGATCTTGGTCATACATCGTTTCATGCAAGCGATAAGCTCGCATAGCTTGTTGGCGGTCTTCCGATGCAGTCGTCTTCAGCCGGAAATCATTTCATAAAAAAGCCGGCAAAAATGAGTCAAGTACTTGAACAAACAAAGGCTAAACGATAATAATCTTTGTATAGCTAAATCATTCGCAACTATTTTTTAAACCTGGCCAGGAGCCTAGGCTCCTGACTCTTGCTGACTTGTCCTGACTCTTGCAGACCTTGCAGGAAAACGCTTTATGGCGCAGTGTTTTGCATTAGGCATTGTGCACAACACAGGATGTGGGTACTCTCCTTTTTTCTGAGCCACGGTGCTTCTTGTTGTCCTCGAATTTTTATTTTTAAATAATCTCTTGCAGAACACCGTCCGGTGTGTAAGAAAGACAATCATTGTCACCCTAAAGCTAAATGCGAAGATGGGAGGTGTATGTGCCAAGGAAGAACTGTTGGCAATGGGGAATACTGTCGTGGTATGTTACTCTACAAATATCAGCACTGAAGCACACGTACCAACTCCGCGGTTAACTCCGCGGAATGGCCAGTACCTTACGCATGCGCACAACCATACCTACATACGTAACGCGGGAATTTTTCGCACTCAGCCGTATTGCTATCTTAAAGAGTGTGTGAATGGCAAAGTAGTCAAAGGATAGTTTCACGAAGTATACCATTTAGACGTCTTCATTTTAAAAAGCTATATTATTTTGAAATCGAATATTTATGAATTTATTTCTCAATTTTGTGTTTTAGATGCAAAGGACTGTCCGAAGAACTGGTTGGGCATGTGTAAGAAGTTTGGTGACTTTGGTGAATGCGTCGGAGAACCGCTGAATCCACTGGGAAATGGTCATTGCAAGTGTTACAAAGGATATTACGATCTTTTCCCCAGGGGATGTGTAGGTAGGGCCCAGTCCCTCTTCCATCTTTCTCATCCTCTGGTAATCTCTTCCCCAGATCTTACTTACAAAGCCTTAAGTCCTGCTTAAGACAGACACCGGTGTGATGTGGGTACGGGATGACGATATATCTTAATTAACGCTGTGGAAGGTTGAACCAAGGAGTCATTTCACAAGTATAAGTAGGTTGAGTACGATCGTCCGGGTAAATGGTGACTTACGTTTCATTGGTGCGGTAGTCATCTTTAGAGTCAAAGTGAGTTGTATCACGTCAGTTAATGATATTAAACTCTGGTTATTGACATGATTGCTCAACTAAGTCGCGATTTCATTGGTCGTCTGTCAGTTAAGCCTGATGTCATTGGCTATGAAGACTCGTAAGCTCATTGGTACGGTTCGATCCGTCTATTGTCTTAGTTAAACAGTCGTCTACTGTTGGTCAAATTGTCAGTTGTCCATTCGTCCTCTCGTAGTTAGTTTTACTTGATTCCGTCAATAAGTCGTTTTTACGATGCCGGTAACTGTCGACTACGATTCAGTGGCGTAGTTGATTGCCGCTTTTCCTTCGTTCGATTCTTTAGAATGTCAAAAAAGCGAGGAATGTGCTACCAATGCATATTGTGACTGGTTTGCTTGCAAGTGCAAAGATGAGCTTATAAAGAATGGAAAAGAAGGGGAATTAACTTTAAAACAGTTTCTTTATCAAAAACATGTCGCTTTGTGTTGACCGAAGGTAAAGAACATATGAGAATTAGTGGGTTAGTTTTATTCTCTAGGGAGAAAGGTTCAACCAATCATTATTGGTCATGGCTTGTCCATTAAACCCAAACGATTCCTGAAATCCTTGCGGCGAAGGCTTGTACCCATTCTCCTTAAAGAGCAAGTGGGGAATACTCAGGCGCGGATCTAGGATAAATACTGACCGATTTTCTAAACAAGCGTCGAGGGCGCAAGCTTCTAGAGAGGTCCGGGGGATGCACCACAGTGAAATTTCTTTGATTTCAACTTCCTAAAGTCACCTTAAGTTTCCTGGGTTTTTGAGTCATTCAGACAGGATATTGGCCAGATTTTAATTTAATTTTTTTTGTGTGAAAAATATACTTATTTATGAAAAGTCTGACCGATGCTGATTAATGCATGCACGAGTTTAAGACGAAAAGTTTCCAATTTTATTCAAATCAATCTCTTTAAATCTTCGAAATATTTACCAATTACGTGCTTACTTCAACTCGGTACAGAAAAATCAGACATCAATAACTCGGAGAATCATTTGTCTTGACACAGCCCCTGTGCAAAAATGTAAACAGGCCAGTGAATGCCATCCCAAAGCCAAGTGTTTCTTTGGAAATTGCATCTGCCAAGGAAGTACAACAGGCAATGGCAAATTCTGCAGAGGTGAGTAAAGCCTGGTGGCATCATTAGCCTGTGATCAAGCTCTCTAATTATTGCTAGTGAAGCGAGCAGCGAAAGAACGCGCGAGCGAGCGGCTTTCCCCACGCCGCCGTTGGCACTCGCGTCCCCTTTCGCGCGCGACTCTCGCGACTCCCCCAAATGGACAGCTTACTGGCGGGCTAGATATTTGTTCGGATCGTTTCGACAGTTACAGTCATTTCATATAAACGTTTGACACCTTTCAAACGTAACGATCGGCTAGTCTCTATTTTTGCTCTACTGGCACCCTCACAAGCGACATCGCGGCTGTGCCGTTCACCGCTCGAATATAGGGCTGTTTTTCTGTTTCTTTCCTTCGATTTGAGACCAGTTTAGGGGATTTTTTAGTCCAAGGGTGGCAAGGGTGAGGTCGATCAGTTTTTTGGCAAGTGGACGCAATATACACACCCGCTACTATGCAATAACTGTGTAAGGCTATATAGGGCAAGACATGACCTTAATTATCTGTTCGTAAAACTCTCTCTTTTTCTTGACAGATGCTGTGCCATGTTCTAACGCTACTCTGTTATTGTGTGGAGGAAAAGCTTCATGTCTGGCCGATCCACTTCTGCCTCAAATTCCTATTTGCAGGTGCCATAAAGGCTTTAGACTGTCTAAGAAAAAAACGTGTGAAGGTAGGATACTGAATAAATGAAACCTGTAGGCTTTCTAGTCGTCTGGGATAAGGACGATAAATTTTAAGCCCTGTCTCACAACCCTTGCACATGCAATAAACTCTGTGGGATGTCATAGAACCGACAAACTGTTATTAGAGTATATAGAAGAGGTGTCCCTGGTGTGGTGGTCTCAGGGTGGTCTATCTCAAATTTACACTCACGTTAGGGGAAGTACATAATTCAATACTTCTGTTGGTTACTTGTAAACTTCAGCACGAGCAATCTGGCAAACTTCCTCCAACCAATGTTGTAAATTATCCCTAAAAAGCCCTGAGGTCAATGGATAATAACATATTTACTATTTCTAATTACTAACCTAGCCACAGCTGCGCCACAGCGATTCTAATGCCAGATTATCTCACTTGTTGGATCACCACTTTGCTGCCAGACTCATTCCACCGTCCGTTCATCATCCTATGACACTTAACCGCACCGACATTTCATCATTTTGGCCTTTTGCCAGTAAAGAAGTGTAGGACTCAATTTTTCCATAATTCACGGAGGGCTGAACTGTATGGATGAAACGACATTTGTTTTTACGTCTCAGATATCGATGAGTGCAAAACCTTGAAGGCAAGATGTGGAAATCGTTGTCGAAACACAATTGGTTCATACTATTGCGACAAGTGTCCTCGAGGATTCACCGAGGGACGGGATGGAGTATGTATAGGTCAGTTGCGGCCTTATGAGCTCCCTGAATATCATTTCACAATATAGAAAAAATTCTCCCATTATTTTCCAGAACAATCAGTGTCTTTGGCAGCCCATTTTCATACCTGAAACAAATTAACTCAAACCTGATTTTTTTAATTGACACGTACTACTAGAAAAAAGAAAGGTTTACACAGTTTGGAAAAAGAAGATGTTTTTTTAGCCTTCTCTTGACACTCCAGAAACTGGAGTTCAAGAGACTGGGTTCTTGCTTTTGTCATCTTCGTCCTCAGGCCCCCGGCCTCTTCACTTCATCCCCGCTGGATTGAAGAAGAGAGGCACTGGGGATGAAAAAGAAAGGTTATGAGAACATTTTAAAAACTGCATCATGACCAACTGACTGGACACGAGTTGATGGCTGCTATCCAAAATAAACTTTGCCAAATGCCGATGTTTTTTCTGCGCAAAGTTTCGCCCTAACTCCAAAATGAGCGGCGAGCAGAGCTAGCAGAGCATCGTTTAAATATCTTTTTATGATATGAACTGCTCTCCATTCACTCAAACTATCTTTTAACCCGTCAGCCTCAGACGAATGTGATTGCGAAGAGAATGAAGAGTGTTATGAAGGTGACTGCTACTGTGCTGAGGGCTACGACAGAGATGAGTTTGGAAAATGTGTCTCTATGGATAACGGTGAGAGCTTCCGTTAACTTCTGATCAGGCGTGAAAGCTTCGATTTTTGTGTCCCTTGTGTTATCTCCTCGTTTAAAGTAGAGGCCTGTGGATTCAAGTACGAGTACGATTACGAGAACAGAGATTTAACTTAAGGGTTTTTCGCGTATTCTCACAAAATAGACAGCCCGGAAAGCTTGTACTTTTTTCACCAGAAAAGTAAGTACGGACATTTTTGATTTATTGAAGGAGTTAGAGCCCTCTCTTGACTGAAAAAATGATATAACCCATAGTACAATGACGACGACGGCTATCATGTTTTCCTCCAAAATATATAACCCTCAGTGGTTTATATTCGCGCACTACTTGGTGTTGAGAAAATCTCATTCTTGTAGTTCTCGTCTTAGAAAAACATGTAAATAGTGAGTTGTTTGAAAGCCCCTAACCCAGGGTTAAATTTAATTCGGGTTTCCTTTTTTTTTTCGCTCAACAGTACTTGCTCGAAAAATTTTCTTAATTCTTTTTACAGCATTCAGTCATTAAATTGAAGACAAAAAAAAACTGAATTTGCTTTTTAACCTTTCATTTATTCTGAAAGCAAATTTTGCACCTACCCTGTGTTATCCCTCTTAACCTAGCTCTGTGAACAATCCGTCCCAGGAGCTTACTCTCCAGTTCTAATCGTATTTACTTTGTTACAGGATTGCATCTGAGTGGCGCCCAGTCGATCCAGGTTCCTTTCTTTCACGAACTCTTGATCCTGTTTGTATTGTCCGCAAATCTTGCTATGTTGGTTGAATTCCTTTAGCAATGCCTTTCAAAGTAACTGTTTTGCTCGATATTTTTATACCAGGCAGCACTTGTAAATAAAAACGACACTGTCACATATGCAATCTTTATTTGTCTCTAATGAACAATTTGACGTATTCATAGTTTGATTACAGCTGACTGCTCCCGGTTTTGTTGAGGTATATTTCAGTGACATAAAATAAACCACTTATGCTTGTGATAGAGTTCACGAATTATATAAGATCCCGCTAAGTTTTTACTGATAGCTAGTATAAGACGCATTTTCAATAAATAGAGATCGAGATAGTTAGCTAGAAGCCAGAACTACCTAATACACAGACACTTCCTTCTGGATCCTCAAGTCTTGACTTGTTTAAATGTCATTAAAATAAGGTTAATTCAAGGTCAAAAATGTCATCAAAGCCTACACAGTTTACCCTTCTTAGGGTAAAAAAGAGACAGAAAATCCAGAGCAGTTTTCAAAAAAGGATTACAGCGCACTTTACCTTTTCGGAAATAACAACAATTTCAGACTGAATCAATACATTTTATTAGGCTGTGTACATGTGTGTTATTCAAATCGGGAAAGTCTAAAAAAGGTCAACTGACAAGTAAAAAGAATTTCAACGGAGTTCACAAAACATCAAAAGTGAAAGTAGTGGCAAACGCCAGATTCATGCAGTTAAGGCCAGACCTCCGAGCAGGACACTTGTCAGAAGGATCACGTGACCTGAGGACTTGGTGGAGTAAGCGTCACCCTTGATCTTGGAAGGCGCTAGGAAAATATAATATTTTCTGTTAACAAGACTAGGTGACAAGTGAAAGGATCCTTGATGGTTTTTGTGGGAAGGGTGTGAGAAAGAAGTGAAATGTAAGCCCTTAAGGAAACAAAAAAGAGAATATAAAAAGAGTACAGTATTCTCTGATGTTATATTGCAATTACAGTTGAACCCCTCCTCAACGGCCTTGGGAATAGAAGAAAGTGGCTGCTGTAAATAGGTGGCCGTTGTACCGTCCGCCAAAAATGTGGCCGTTCGTAGAGAGGGGGCCGTTTGTAGAAGTTCAACTGTAATAAGTGAGACACAAACCTTTAACCCGTACGCATTTCCCTTGTTTCTTGATGTAGCCTTTCTTGCATTTGCACTTTCCATTATTGTCACATCTCTCATGTTTTCTGCATTTGCACTCTGAAAAATTAGTACAAAAAGGTACTATCTTGGACAAAGTGTTAAGATGAAACATTGCCGAATGAAGAACTACTGAAGGCGTACTTTATTGAGGCCAGAAAAGCTTGTTGCACCTTCAAGTCCGTACATTTTTTTAAAGAATTATTTCAGAGCATTGGTTTAAAACTCAATACAAAGCATTTTGCATTTAGTGATCAGTTTATAAATTCTCATAACCTTTTCTCTTGATCATATATTGATATTGTAAGGATAAAATTGATGTTGGTCATTCCTGGAACCTAAGGGTGATGTTACACGAAACGATTCGCAAAGACGATTTCGAGCGCAACACAGCGTATCAATGTTGGAACAATGTTGCCACCATTCGAAACAATGTCGCAACAATGTTGTAATGCCGTCTTTCGCTAAAAATCGTCGTTGCGAATCGTCACGTGTAAGATCACCTTAAAGGGTTAAACCCTAGAGAACATCAATTCATGGTGAGGAATTTTTAGCGGTATGTTCCCATTGTGTTGTCTACGAGGTTCAACAACTGGATGTTAGCTTTACATCTCCTTGATTAAATCTATAAAAGTACCAAACCCGTACATGAACAGTCAGCGATGTCTTCTGTTAATGTCGGAAATGTGTCAAAAATAAGCTGCTTCTTTAGACTTAATTTTTAGTGCAGTTAGCACCACGTACAGGTTTGAGCGTCATGGATGAAGTGTTATGAGTAATCCGACAAAAGACAAACTTTTACCCTTAGTGCATTCGTCGTCAGCTGCACCATTCTTCTTTTCATATCCCGCTTTGCACTTGCAATTGTAGGAGCCCTGACTGTTTATACATTGCTGGGTGTCTTTCATACAAGTAGTTCTACACTCGTCAACATCTAAAGGAAAGAAAAGGTTGGTCATTAGAAGTTGGTTGGAAGAGAGGAATAACCCCGGGAACAACTTAGAGGGACACCGTGAGAGAGAGAACGTTCTCGGAACGTTCACAAAACAGTTTCCGCTTCTAAATAATTATGTGATATCGTTCAACTGATGGAAATAATCATAAGCGCTCCCATCGTAAATAGAACCAAGTAACTGGCCAGTATAATAGTAGTATAAAAAAACTGTGGAAATTGCATTTTGTTCACCGGGGAGGTTTCGCACCCTAGCCCTGTATGTGCGAGTTAGATGTGATTATCATTCCTATACTACAGGTGACCCAAAGTCACCAGTGAATGTTGACTAAATTCTGCGAAGACAAAAAAAATGTTGAAATGATATAAATCTTACCTCTACACACGCCTCCATCGTCAAAATACCCAACGTGACAGGTGCATTCCTTTCCTGTTAGGCATTCACCATGTGCTCCACAATTGCAGTCAGCTGGAATATATCGTTAAATGATTTTTAATCCCCATAATATTTGAACCGCCTTCGGTAAAGCAAATCGGAAGTAAAATTATAGTGTTGGACTGGTGAAAGGAAGGTAGGTTTGGTTCGAATTATCGAGAATTTCGAAAAAACCGAATGTGGTGTATTTCGAGAAAAGTTGTCGGAAAAAAAAGTGCACGCGACAATCCCCGAAAGGTAATATGGGATATGATCAATACACTGTTCCTGACACTGTAGCTGTTAAGCCCACTTTTGTTGCTTTCCTTTAGCACTCACAAACATACCTCCATGGCCTTTCGTACCATTCTTTCAAATTTCTTTCAAGAAAAGTGAACAAAAAATTATCCACAATACTGATTTCGGGATGGTCGCGTGTACTCTTTCCGACAACCTTTCTCGAAATATAATTGTGTATCTGAAGCGCAGCAAAGTAATTGAATATTTTCCTAAAAAATATCGTTAAGTTTGTGTCGCCATTCGCTATAATTATAATGGCAAGATAAAATTCAGAAAAAGTTTAATTAAGGAAACCTAATCCAGATCCCTCTTGCATGAACAACCCGCAGTCGGCTACGCGTTCATTTCTTCGCCAGTTTCATCTTTATTAGTCCTTACTCTTGTCAAGATAATTGCGAACAGATTATACACAGATACATTAAGAGATGAATTTAACTATGAATATCCATTACTTTAACTCGCAGCTGATACCAACCAATACAGATGCCATTTTCATCATCTTTAAAGCCATTCTTGCAAGTGCACTTGTAGGCACCTTCTGTGTTCTCACACACTTTGTCTTCGGGACAACTCTGCTTATTTCCGCATTCGTCAATGTCTGAAAACGTTATTGACCGCAAACAAAAAGATCATTCCAATATTTCTTTATTCACTGTAAATCCAGTCTATTAAGCTCCGCCTTTTCAGGGGAAGGGTTATTAAGATCCTCTTTCTCCCTGTTAAGCCCCTCCCCTCCTCCATATTCTTAAATGATAGACTGCATTAATTAATCACGACTGCAATATGTCATGTGGAATCAGCTAGTCCCTGGCTCGTTTAATCTTGGACATTATCGTGAACTGTGACGTCACCGAAAGAGACTCGCCCTCTCTCACCCGCTCTTTCCCAGCCTTTGCGCGGACAACGGGACAGGAGAGAACGCCTAGGGACTAGGTTAACGTGGACTGATCCAGTATGGTTAACCTGCGGGAATTCGGATTTGATTTTGATCTTCGGATGAAAATGATCACCAACTTCATAGACCCCCACCCCTCCTCAAACGTGCTGGAAATAAATAAACCATCACCCCCCCCCCTCGAAAGGGAGGTTAATGAAGGATTTGTGGAAGCTCTGCCTTCTGCTTTGCCGCAAGTCTTTGTTTTTGTACGAGCCATCAAAATGTAAACGCGAGCATGTTTGCGGAATAAGACCGGGGTAAGTTGTTTACCACTCGCATAGCACTTCTTCGCGTAACAATGGGCGTTTTGCCTCAAAAATCCGAGTGTGAAAACGACTTCTTTGTAGCCTAATATGAAATTAAATGATCGACTGGGCTTAGAAGTGACTATTCAAGTTTCATAAATTGGTCATTGGTATTTCCTTTTATTCATATAACTGAGATTTGGTATTCTCTGCTAAGTTAACCTTGCTAAGCGATCAGGGTTTAAATTTCGGCTTTAGGGTTACCTTCACAAATTCTGTTTTGTCCCCTTGGCCTTTCAGCCATCTTTAATCCACTCTTACAGACACATCTGTAAGAACCGTCGTTTCTTTTTTTGCATGATGCTCCACGAGGGCAAAAATCTCCACGCCTTTCACACTCGCTCAAAGCTGAAAATATCACAATTTTGCAAAAGATATGTAACTCTGAAAACGTGCACTGAGTAACTATTTAAACTGCTATTTTTATTTGCACAACAATATCAAAAAAACTGATTGTTGTTCTCTATCCAGAGTCACTGTGAAGATGATATAGGTTACCTCGACAGTGAAGAAGACTATATTTACGCATCCGCATATACACAAAGAACAAATACTTTCTCAAATAGTCTTTGAAATCTGATTACGATAGGAAGATGATATAATTATTTTGTGTCATGAAAATAATAAAAACAAAAAACAAAGCAAAACAAAAATCACTTTCAAATTCATCTGAGGGGACATTAAATTAAAGCTTACCTCCTGGTAAAAATGTGATGATCGACGAAACCATTACACTTTCACATTACGGATATTTCTCTACACAAATCAGTATTTTTATAAATTGTCAAACTCCGCATGATGTTAGAGCTTCAAGATTTATCATTTGAGATTGCTAGTAACATGCGTTTAGATAAAAAAAAAATTAATGCAGAAGCGCCCTGTTAGCTCAGTTGGGAGGGCGCTGGTCTGCCGAGCACGATGACGTGGGCTCAAACACCCCGGCCAGACCAACTATAAGGGCCTTAAACAACTGGTGAGATTATACTGGCTGTGACTTAAGATCTTGTTTCGGTTCACATTATCGCGTCATTGGGCGGTGACGTTAAGCCGTTGGCCATGTCTCCTTCATCCTTTCTTATCAATTGGAATGGGACATAAAAGAACTTTTTTTAACTGCTGTTCAAAAAGAGTAGGGGACGTAGACCCCAACGACGGGGTTTATATCTCAAGGGGGTATTAAAGGAACTGTTACGGTCCTGCAGTAATTGACGTCATACCGTTGAGGCAAACTAACCTGCCAAAATTAGCGAATCAAGTACAACAGACTTACCAGAACACCAATCAGGGAATAGAGGATCGACCAAGCAAACTTTACTGAACCCACAGTAGTTTTTACCTTTCCGGCACGGCTGGAGCTCTGTAATGAAAATAATACTAAGATCATGTTCCTAATTAGCCCATACCAGGTCCACACGGGCTAAATACCTGCCTCCATATCCTCTCCCTCCCCGCACCCTCTCCCCCCTTCTCAGGCACTTCGATATTTTCGTGGTAATCGCCAATAAAGGCGAACGCGAAACGCGAGTGACTGGTGACGAAGCGCAAGGGACCAAGGGAAGGAGAAAGAAGAGAGGTGAAGCCGCTTCTGTTTTGGGTAGGAATTGAACTTCTCGATTACCAAGTCTGTAATGATGCTGGGGTCTGTTTTCTTTTTTGGATGAGAAAAGCTTCCTCTTCAAACACAGGATGTGGATACCGTATTTATTCGAATGAGCGCCTAACCTCGAATTAGCGCCCACCTCGAATAAGCGCCCATCCTAAAGGCAGAAAGAGTTAATAAGCGCCCAGTCTCGAATAAGCGCCCACCCCCTCCTCCTCCCAATCAAACTCAAATAAGCGCTCACCCCCACCCCACCCACTTAAGTGAATAAGTTCCAATAAGAGACTTCCCCGAGGACGGAGTTTTCTTCAGAGTATTTTACAGAAACCTTGCTTTGTTATTTCTTCGTTTTTTGTTATTAGCATTTATTGTTTGTTGCAAAATAAACATACTTCACTTGCTGAAAATGGTGAAAATTTAATTAAGGCCCAACCTCGAATAAGCGCCCACTCTCAAGGTCCAAAACTTTAATAAGCGCCCAGGGCGGTTAATCGAATAAATACGGTATACCCCACTTACACACCACCCATAATACACCTTATTTGCGCCCCCCCCCCGGCCAATTTTGCATAACCTTTGTTTTCATTTCTCCTGGGTATTACAGTCATCCCAAGAGAAATTGAAAACAGTGGTTATGCAAAATTTTGGGGGCCAAATAAGGTGCATTATGGGTGGTGTGTAAGTGGCGTATGCAATTTTTTGCTCTAAATTCACAAAGGGATGAACAAGTCTTATTTCTAAAAATGGCGTAATCGTCCGTCCTTGAACATTCCACCATCATGAAAATAAAATCGCTCATTTTATCCTTCCCGCCTTCCTTTGCGCACACATTTACATCGAGAGAGAGAGAGAGAGAGAGAGACGCCTGTTAATGGAATTTATTTTTACCAATGTCACTTTAAAATTGCAATTTTTAATATTTAAAACAAAAGCATTCATGCCTTCACAGATAGATTCGTTACACTGAATTAAAAAGTAAAACTGAATAGTTTATATTTGTAAAACTCAAATTTACAAAGAAATGTCAGGGGCAAGCATTAGTAGTATACATGTCTTCATAAATTTTGGCAGTTTAGGGCTCAAATTTCCAAGCCGGTTTGCAATTTCGCATTTTCTCTTAATTCATTGTTGATAAACCAATCCGATCCGATCTTTAAACAAAACAAAGAAAACAAGTTCCCGTGACGTCACCGTGAGTCTGTACTCTAATCGATCATGGACAAAGACAAATCACAGCGAGCGAGACGCGTACCATTTTACTACATTGCATAACGTAAAAGAGACAATGAATAGAGATTATTAGATACTCACCTCGACAATCCTCCCTGCCACCTCCAGCAGTTTTTCCTTTACAAATGCATTTTTTGTCTATACAGCTAGCACTCTCATGGCAGTCCGTGTCACTCTCACATGCGGCTGTTGGTGCTAGAGTGTCAAAAAAACGTGTGACAGAAAAAGTGAGCGAGAATTAATTTTTTTCTTAACTTCCACTTGCAGAAACCAAAACTATTGGTTCTCCCTTTGCTATGCTTCTGTGCGTTTTTTTTTTCACGCGCTAGACACGCAACCCCCCATAACAGCTCGTAACATACCCATGACGTTCTTTTGGCTTAATACATAATCCTTGTCAACGATGAGGAGGACTGAGTAAAAAGGCAAACCCAGAGTAATCTCAGGTCCATCAAATAGAAAACGGGCGACAATCGCATTAGATACGCATCCATTGATAAGTACGTATTCAAATACATAAATGGTCTCTGCCCGCTTTATCTTCGTGACCTATTTCCCGCAATTGCGATACACATAACTATGTGTGCAAGTTCAAAACAAAGTATGGGAAAGGGGTACCATTTGTTAATAGAAGGCACTAGGGGTACCTTTCCTATCAAAAATGGTATCTAAAAGGGAGGGGTTAGGCCTTCCCAGGAGTATGGGAATTGCGCGCTCCTCGCTTCGGGCTCCTGTGTTCATTGACCCCTTAATTTATAAAACTTACCAAGTTTACAAGTTCTTCCATCTCCTATAAGATCGCTTTTGCATTTGCACGTTCCTTCCAGGTTGTTGCAGTAAGACTGATGAGAACAGTGGTGATCCCTGCTGCAAATCCGTCCTTTTGCATCATGTTTTTGCCGAACTAATTATAAAACACGGGAAAACAATTTACCTAAAGTCGTTTAAGCTACTTGTCCCTTTCGTGAAGAAGTGGACGTTTTAGCAAACTTAAACAACCACAAGTTCTTAAGATAGAGGGTGGATGTTCGAAAAAGGAGGCACCTCTGAGAGAAACTCCGTTAAAGTTCGAAATAACTGGAAGGTACATGATACCTTGCCTCTTCTTAGGATAAAACTATTTAGAAGGACCATAGCAAGCCACACATATGAATAGATCGATGTACGGAGAGGTAATTTGCCTTACCAATTATTTCGCAGCACTCAAATCAAGCCTCCAAAATGATAAGGTTTATTACTTACGGTATTCGTGCGACGTATATTTGAATCCACCAGTTCGTAAAATTTGGCGCGAGAAGCAAATCACCATGATAACGACAATCCATTTGGTTCTCATTTTTTCGTTTCTTTCAGGGCGTTCGTACAACGCACGATCGGTTTTCGATTACTTCGTTAACTGACCCTTAGCTCTGATCTGTATTAATTTGTAGTTGAACGTCTTGCTTCAAATAATACGTGGTAAAATTTAGAGCGTTGTTTGGCTTCAATCCAAATAAAAGTGCAATCCGGCTCTGAAGTCTAAAAAAACCGTTCTAAATGAAGAAACAGTTTACCACACTAGCGGTAACCATGCCAACACTAAATAATTGTTAGTGACGCGAATTTTCTAATTTCCTCGTCGCCAGATTTTGCAAGTAAATAGGCTCATTTAGCAACAGGACGGGAACGTCATTTGACGATGGGAAAGCGCGCGGAAAGGACTACACTCGACTTCCGGTGCCAAATTTGCCGCTCTGCCATTGGTCAAGCCAGTTGTTTGATTTGCGCGCGCCGACGTCAACTGACGTTCCCGTTCTGTTGCTAAAACAAGCGCAGCGGTGCTTATTTCATTTTCCTGTTATAGGTGCGGCGCTTATTTCAATTACGGGTAAAACAGGGGAATACAGAGAGAATAAAGTGAAAATATGTACACCTAGAACTGTGACATGAACCCGGTTTCAAGAGTTTCCCTATATTAAAACTTTAGAACTCACGAGTTGGTTGAGGTCTTATTTCTGAAGCGATATGGTCTTGATCTCTTCATAACAAGCGACGTAGCAAAGGTGGGCGTTAATTTGTAAATACCCAAATTAGCCTCCTTGGCGCTTATCAATAAAGGTGCGGCGCTTATTTGAGAGCGGCGCTTATTCGAGTAGCGGCACTTAATCGATCATTAACTGTTACCAACAAATAGGTGAACGACCGGCCTATGGAACGATTTCTACATAGACCGAAATGGCGCAGAGGTGAGTTTGTTGGTTTTATTTGAAAAGGAATAAAAGACGAAAAAAAGCACGACGGATCGAAGGAAAAACGGCAATTTTCAATTAAAGTTACGCATCGTATCAATTAGCACGAAACAAAAGATAATTGGGAAAAGAAAACAAAATAATAACTAACGACACAATTCCTCGGTCGAGTCAAGGACCTTACAGTTTGGAAAATATCACTAAAAATGGGAAGTGTCACTAAATGGATTGTGTTGGTGATGGTGATATGTGTATTCACCCGTAATTCACTGGGGAAAAGAGAAAACAAAGATCGTACGTTATTTTAATCTTTTTTACTTTTAGAGGCACTTATTTAACAATTAATGAATGAGGCTTAGTATCTTATGAAGAATTATGGAGATCGAGGAGGGTGTTATCCGTCGAGGCCGTAGGCCGAGGCGAATAACACCCTCCTCGATCTCCATAATTCTTCACATGATACGAAAGCCGAATTCAATAATTGTTTTATTTTTCATTCAAAATAATTCCTAGTGTAAAAACGTGGCTAAAACATGCTCACCTCCATCGTTTAGGTTTGTGCAGCTCCGCAAATATTCTCCAAATAGCAGATGTTGCCCTTCGAGTTGTCTTCTTGCTGTTCTTGCCATGTTTTTAGCTATTTTTCGCCTAGTTTTTACTCTTGAAACGAGTGAAATGTCCGCCATTTTTCAGTTGTTCAAAAGTCTTTATTCCAAAACAACTCAACCTCGTCCCCAAAACCACACAAAAGTAAAAAGGCTTTTCGAGGATCATTCGGTCAGAACGGTCAGCCTCAGTGACAAACAAACAAACGCAGTCAACACATAGAAATTTTTGACGTCAGAAGCTTGCGCAGAACGTTTTTCCGCCCTCGTTAAACACAAAATTCTTCCAAATTTGGCCATCAGTAACTGGTTATGGGGAATTAAACGTGTGCTTTTAGCCAATCAGAATCGGGAAAATATTTTGAATGAATAATAAAACTTCTTAAGCTATAGACGAAACATGAACATCAAGCGTTTTTTGAGATGATAAGACCTGATAACACCATTTTAGGGGTGTCTATATGATACAGGAACGACTTTCATTCCCGAATGAGTTTCGTTCCAGAGGGAAGTTCGTACTGCGTTCACATGATAAAATCGACTGGCTTAGCCCAGCCTATGGAGTTGTGGCTCTTGTGGTCAGATCAGATACACATGCGCAACTTGTCCCAGGTTACACGAAACACGATTTGCAATTTTCAATCTGGAACGAACCTCGTTTTCCGGTCTTTTCAGTTTACATGATACCTGAATGAGAATTTCATTCGGAAACGAAATATCGATTATTCGGTATCATGTAAACAAATACGGAGAAACGGTGGAGGTGGAATGAACATGTTCTAGAATTTGAAAGTCATTCCGGTATCATGTGAATAGCAATGTTAGTATAGCCCTGACCCTTATTCATTTGAGAACTATAATTGAGAAGAAGATAAAAAGATCGCCTTATCCTTTTGCAGATATTTCCCGGGACTCAGCCAACAAAAACTGCAGAAAGGCGATGGAAAACTTCCAACGAAAGTTGACACAAAGTGAAAATGATCTCAAGAAAGGAGGAGGAGTTGCAATGGCAGCTGGGCTAAAAAAAAATTTACTTCTCGCAATGAAGAAAGTAGCTGAACAGAAATGTAAAGGTAAGCTTTTAAGAAAACGTTGCGGATCTTATAGGGTAGGGGCCCGGGCAGGAGGGGGGGGGGGAAATCCCACCTTATTTTTAGACAAACTGAAGCCTACAGAAATGAGAAAAAATATTTTTGAGGCCGGGCCTCCTTTCTTCTGAGGGTCTCAATGAACGGGTTGCCCTCTCACTTTAAGATCTGAATCCAGCCCTGAGACAGAAATGTTTTACAGTAACCCGGTGGAAAAATCATTAGACTTGAAATCTCCCCAAATGTTAGTACGAGTCAGATTTTGCCTTGCAACACTGGTTCAACTATGTGCCTTAATCGATTCGCTTATCGCTCTTCTTGCGAGAAATATGACGCTTGTTAGTTAATCATCTGTACTTAACTTTCCTAAAGGAATCACTAGTTTGTAGTTTATATAGAATTAAGAGAGGCGTCGTTTCTTTAAAGGATACACGATTTAGTGTGTTAATGTCCTTTTAAAGAACAAGGCCTCGGAGTTTTTTTTAAAAGAGTTTTTATTGATTTAGATCAGAGAGACGGAGTTGAGTAATTAATGAACTATTTAAAGAGTCTTATAAGTTCTATTTAATATGCTTCGAGGTGCGGATTTGTCGCCTAGCAAAACAGTGATGTAATTACCAGTAGTACTTATTACTATCCCCTACGTATAGGTATAAATGAATGCTCTACCAAGACGCATGACTGTGATAAAAATGCTGTCTGCAAGGATACTGACGTGGCCTTCTCTTGCACCTGTAAACCAGGATATAAAGGAGACGGAGTGAAGTGTATAGGTTAGACTACAGTACTTTACTCTATTCACGTATTGCCAGTGAGGTAACTTAAGTCTTGAAGGGTTCAGTCGGTTTTGTTTTAACTGATCAGAATTTTGTTTCTTCTGAATAGAAGGCTAGATTAAAGGAAGGGATTAAGCTTTACGGAAAGTAAGCTAGCTAGAAGTTTCATCGGTTTGTTAATAAAGAAATTAAGATTCACGTTCGCGGAAAACGGCAAACGTCAGATTCAAGTTGAGAATTTCTCAGAATAGAAAATTAATAAGCAGATAAAAACTGCCCAGAACAATTCTTATGGATAACACTGGCGTGAAACGACTTATTTCTATGTAGAAGTAATAAACAGTAAACGACAATTAAGGAGAAAACTTGGTCACGTGATAAAAATTCACGTTTTCCGTTTGAAGTAAACGTGAATGTTAATCTCTCTAATATTTCGTTCGTCCCTCACAGCTGATGAAAGCATTTTGAAGGGATATCCATACAAGCCAGCTGAATATCGTAAGTTAAAGATATATGACTACCTTAGGAAGTGCAATTTACTTATACTATTACATTAAATATAAATGACTCATGATATCATAAATTTTTGAAAGGACAAAAACTTGCACGGAACCGCCATTTGAAAACGGTAAACGTTTGAAAAGCGTGCAAGATTTAAGCTGAAAAGTGTGCAAGTTTTTGACCTGATCAGAAGTAAGTCGGACTTGTTTACCCCCCTCCTCCCGTGCAAGTTTTTGCATAGTTTGCTCGGTAAAAGCCTGGAGAAAAAATTTGTACGCGGGCTCGTGTCAGGACGGGTTACCTACCCTAAGATCACGTTTGGGAATTGTTTGGCTCGAGAGGGAGCTAGAATGAAAGTTTAACCTTTGCCGTTAGAATTTGGCGGGGAGATTTTGACCTAAAATTTTTGGCTTCGTTCGGTGGGCTGTCCACCTCGCGAGTGTTTGGTCTTTCCACTCTTTACTTGTGGAAACTCGGGATAAAGGAAATCTCATAACCACACAAGATGTAAGAACACACTAAGTAAATGAGGTTAAGCCTTTTTTACTGAAAATTTCTGCGAGTATTTATCTTCTTTAATCTATTGCCTGATTCCCGATACAAATCTCTTATATTCACGGCCATTTTGAGGATTACACGATTATGGTACCACACGTATTAATGATTAAACACATACTGGGCTGACTGTGAGAGGTTTACCACTTCTGTATTTATTGACAGCCGAGCCTGCAAAATGCGAGTCCGACGAGGATTGTCTCAAAGGAAGAGCTAGATGCATTCGAAAGGAATGTCATTGTACGGGACACTTTGTGGGAGATGGAAAAACAAAATGTGATCGTAAGTCAGTCATGCCTTCCAATTTTTACTTGTTAATTCAAAAGAAATATAAGTACTAGGGTATCTAAAAGATAGTAATGCTGCGGCACATTCTGTTGATACTGGCATTAGTTAGGTAGTGGGACTTGAAAGAATCGAAAATGACATTGAATGTCCTATTTACATGTTGGAAAGTACTAGAATAATTACTATCAGTCTATAGAAAGAACTCGTGGGAACGTTGTTTAGAAAATGATCAAGTGGTTATCAACTCTGGTTTTCCCACAGTAAATTGTAGGAAATGATAGAAATTCAGATTGTTTATCCATATATTTAATATATGGTGTACTATCGTTTCTCTGGAAACACGATACTTTTCTTGCTTTTATTGCACTTTATTAAGTAACAGTTATTTACCTATATATTTATGGAAAACAACAACACAAAAACGGAGAAAAAGAAAGAAAGAAGAAAAAAAAAAAGTTCGGCAGGATATGAAACCAGCACCTTCGGCTCGACGCGACTACACCTAACCACTACACCACAGAGACTGATTAAGTGATCTTGGGAAAAGTCTTTAATTTAATGCTTTTTGCATGAAACTTCCGCCGGCAAGATGATCGCCAGCCGCATTAATCGAGCTATTAACAGTAAAAACAATGTAAACGCATATTCCATGGCAATGAATGAATGAAAGAATATAATTATGCTTTTCAAAACGCCGATACACGTCCTCGTCTGCAACGTGGGACACAAAACATGTTTTGTTATCTCGATTTCCGCTGTTATTTTGAAGCGAATGGTCAAAATCACATCCATTTTCGGCTCATACAGGTTCTTAAGAATAGCATGGCATGACATTTTCTCACTTTCACATCTAGCAAGCAGGAATTTGTATATCCCCCGTGTTGCGGAGTCTAAGAGCAAATACTCATCTTCTCGTCAGGTTTAACACCTGGACGAGTCAAAGGCTCTTGAATTGAAATCCAATCCCCAAGTTAACCATCGTACTCATCTGAAAGACTCCTGCGTGTATTAAAATTTGGTAAGACCTCTAACCGTGCTGTAGAAAATTTGTCACAAAGAAAACTCTAAGTGTGAGCAGCGAACGATGCTCTCTCTCACCGAACTTCCCCGTGTTTTTATTTGAGTTGTTCGTGCCGCAATGCACTCTGGTTAAATCCAATGCATTGTGGTAAAAAGTGTGGTTAAATGCAATGCATTGTGGTAAAAAGTGATGAATTCGAGAATTCGTCTCCCCTTATTTATTTCCTTTAAATCCTGATTATGTTGCTGCTCGCTCCCTTCGGTCGCTCCGCAGCAATAATTAAACTAGGGTATCTAAAAGATAGTAATGCTGCGGCACATTCTGTTGATACTGGCATTAGTTAGGCAGTGAGACTTAAAAGAATCAAAAATGACATTGAATGTCCTATTTACATGTTGGAAAGTACTAGAATAATTACTATCAGTCTATAGAAAGAACTCGTGGGAACGTTGTTTAGAAAATGATCAAGTGGTTATCAACTCTGGTTTTCCCACAGTAAATTGTAGGAAATAATAGAAATTCAGATTGTTTATCCATATATTTAATATACGGTGCACGATATTTTCTCTGGAAACACAATACTTTTCTTGCTGTTTGTTGCACTTTATTAAGTAACAGTTATTTAGCTATATATTTATAGAAAACAACAACACAAAAAACGGAAAAAAAAAGAAAGTAGGAGTAAATAAGTCGGTAGGACTCGAACCCGTCACCATAGACTCGGCGCGACTACACCTAACCACTACACCACAGAGGCTGATTACGTAATCTGGTGGGAAAGTCTTTCATTTTATTCCTTTTCCATGAAACTGCCGCCGGCAAGATGATCGCCAGCCGCATTAACCGAGCTATTAACAGTAAAAAAAAACAATGTAAACGCATATTCCAAGGCAATGAATGAATGAAAGAACATAATTATGCCTTTCAAAACGCCGATACACGTCCTCGTCTGCAAAGTAGGACACAAAACATATGTTTTGTTATCTCGATTTTCGCTGTTATTTTGAAGCGAATGGTCCAAATCACATCCATTTTCGGCTCATACAATTTCTTAAGAATAGCATTGCATGACATTTTCTCACTTTCACATCACCTTCTAGCAAGCTGGAATTTGTATATCCCCCGTGTTGCGGAGTCGAAGAGCAAATGCTCATCTTCTCGTCAGGTTTAACACCTGGACGAGTCAAAGGCTCTTGAATTGAAATCCAATCCCCAAGTTAACCATCGTACTCATCTGAAAGACTCCTGCGTGTCTTAAAATTTGGTAAGACCTCTAACCGTGCTGTAGAAAATTTGTCACAAAGAAAACTCTAAGTGTGAGCAGCGAACGATGCTCTCTCTCACCGAACTTCCCCGTGTTTTTATTTGAGTTGTTCGTGCCGCAATGCACTCTGGTTAAATCCAATGCATTGTGGTAAAAAGTGTGGTTAAATGCAATGCATTGTGGTAAAAAGTGATGAATACGAGAATTCGTCTCCCCTTATATATTTCCTTTAAATCCTGATTATGTTGCTGCTCGCTCCCTTCGGTCGCTCCGCAGCAATTACCATATGAAAATGATGTCGCATTTACGCCACTTTTATTCTTAAGAGTACGGTCGCGCATTGCTATTAGGCTGATTTAGCAACAGCACAGGGACGTCATTTGACGACGGAAAAGCGCACGGAAAGGACTACATGTAAACTCGACTTCCGGTGCCCAATTTGCCGTTCAGCCATCGGTCAAGCCAGTTGTTTGATTTGCGCGCGCCGTCGTCAACTAACGTTCCCGTTATGTTGCTAAACCAGCCTTTTGTAGGAGCCACAACGGATTCTCTACTTTTTCTATTTCATGGTTCCGATTTTTGAGGTGATGGCATGACAATGAGAAAGAACAACACTAGAGGCAACCTCGTTTCCAGGTCCTCTCCTTCTCCGTCACCGGGGACCGAGTAGGAGAGGATCTGGGAACGAGGTTGTTTTCTGGGTTGCTATGGTATGACAGGTCTGTCCTTGTTTTTCTTTTCCAACAGACTGGAGGAAGTGCCCACACCACAACATGTATGACAAAAGGGAGCCATGTGGGATACACATAAAAGGAAAAATGGCACATTCATTCTGTTTGGAAGGAAAGTTGAATCTCCATGGTCACTCACGTACATCTCATGTTTGCAAGTGTCATGACGGGTATATTGGCAGAGCGAATCATCCTGAATGTGTGAGTTCGAAAGGTAAGAGGCTTTCCTTAAGGAGCTGTAATCTCTTTTGAAGTAAAAAGCTCATTAAGGTGGCTCGATGGGGTTTTTCATCTGCCTGGCTACCAATTTTTGAACTTGAAGAAATACTGGAACTTCTATTTACTACTAGTTATTTACTAGTTAAGTTAATTTCGAGGAAGTCGTCTCCACGTGTATTCTTTCAAGGTTGAAAATTCGTAGACAGGCAATTGAAATGCCCCATCGAGGCACATCAAAACCGCATTATATTAATTAAGCGGGAAATTAGTCAAGATTTTCTCGTTAAATATAGCATTTTTGTCTCTACGCCGAAAACTAAATAGCTCCGGTGTACGTACTAATCATTTCGAAGTTGTGAACATACAAACCCAAATTATGTGCAGTGGCTATCAGACCTGTTATTTCTCAATTTTCTAAGGATAGTAAAATGAAATAAATGCAGTAATAATCTTCCGATGCAGCAAGTCCCTTTTAGTTTCAAATAGCTAAAATTCTTTCCTTTTTTAGGAATGTATATATGTTGAGATTATGATAGCTAATGCAATCAGTGTTGACTTTTTCTTTCCACAGCCGATAAAACTGGTCGCCGGGCATGCGTACTGGAACATAACTGTCATGAGTTGGCTAGGTGCAAACATAACAAATGTTACTGTCTTGATGGCTACGATGGAAACGGTGACGTTTGCGTGGGTAAGATAAATTTAACCTGTGTTGAAGATTTTTTCTTCTCTTATTACTCAATCATCCACTTGATTTATTGGAAAACAATAGCGGCGGTGATAGGTCATTTGCACGATGACGTCTTTTCACTACTACGACCAGGATTCATTTCGTTTTTTCTTTCATATGTAAATTTGGTAATCTTAGTGAGGTTTAAGGAACAATAGCCCTAATTGTCACAAGAAAGCAATACCCCAAAGGGTTCTAGAAGTAGTAGTAAAATGACGTCATCGTGCAAATAGCCTATTGATGATAACTTCAACTTTCATTGAAATACTGTTAAATCTTCAGCCTCTTAATCCCCATGGATTTTCCCCGGGGACGAGGTTGTTGAATCTCTCATAACCAGCCTCCTATTCTTGGTTTTCAACCAAGTGACAAGGTAGCCATGAAGATGGCCGCCATGACGTTACGTGCAAATTAGCAACACGGCAGCTACCTTTTATTTAGAAGCTAGATACACTCGTTCCGGCGTTCGATAGTGGGAGTGTATTTTTTTATCATCATCATCATCATCATTGTCAAAACTATTCTTACAGGATTTCTACGTTTGTATGATACACTGAGACCGTTCTATCATGTGATTTTCGATGGGAAAAATTAGTTTGTACTGTAAGCCCTTAATTTGTCCATCAAGAGATTTGTCCATAAGTGATTTTACTACTTGTTAGATTTTATCATATTATTTACTCACTCTACTAGAATTGTTGTTTTCTTTGTTTTTCAGTTGGAAAACATGGAGGCACTAAATGTTTTAAGGATTCTCACTGCCCCTCATATTCTTTCTGCGAATATGAAAAATGCAAATGTAGAACTGGTCTCGTCGGAAATGGAGGAACGTGCAAGCCTGGTACGAAGATTAATACCAATAAATAATCTGCGTAACAGTAAAAAAAATATGTCTTTCCTGGGGAATAAGTTTTCATTGGCCGAGAAATCGTGACATTCAGGATTAAATTGTTTATGCTATTACAAATACGTGTCTCGCAACCCCTCGCGAAACTCGGTGTTGCGCTCCGAGTGACTCCTCTGCGAAGCGCGCGATTCTCGAAACTCGGTATGCCATCCAAGTTAAACCCTGTTGGACTGGGTTGGAAACAATATAGGTGACCAGCCGGGAATCAGAGCCGTCTTGATGAGGCTACTTTTATTCTCTCTTGTTTTCTTCTTTTTCTTTTTTTATTGTCCTCTCTCTGATAGACAAAATGCGTATTGGAAAGCATATTTAGGAATATTTCTGTCGCTGGTTGGACCAAAAAAGTAAAACACGGCAACAACTCGGGCTCAACGGCCAATCTATGTACAGAGCTGAAATCAGTTTTTGCTCCTTTCGCGGAAAAAGCGCTAAGTAAATGGTGGATTTGTCTTGGTGTAACGTGAATTCAAACGTAGATTCAACTCACCAAAAAATAAAAGATTATTGCAGTCCCTTCAATACTATACTTTAGTGATAATTTAGATTATTCTGCTGTTCAGGTTTTTTACTCTCAGTACATTTTTTACTCATATAATTTTTCATGTAGGGAGGTGAAAGAAGAGCTCAGCCCAGTTTAAATCTGTACATGTATGTCATGCAGGCTTTAACACATTTTTATTTCAGAACCGCTGGCTGACTGCGCTACTCATAGTTTTTGTGACGTGAACGCCAGCTGTATAAACGGAAAATGTATCTGCAAAGGTAAAACAGTTGGGAGTGGAAAGGAATGCCGAGGTTAGTCTTAGAAATTTTATCTTAAATCACCAGCGCCATTTTTTCTTTTTCATAATTCATTATGGACATTATGATCAACTTTCATAAGAAGTCCCCTTGTTGGCCAGTGCTCCAAAAGCCTTGGAGATGTCGTGCGTAGCGTCGGAGTGATTGATTTTGAGGAACCACGCCTTATAAGGCTGCTTGCAAAAGACGTCCCTTTTAAATATGAATAAATAACAAAACCAGAAAATTTTCTCGACCTTTTTACAGCCATAAAATCTATTTGTTAGTCCTTTTGTGACTTTTTACAGCCTGAAATGACAGATTTCCCTCCCCTTTCATGTACCTGAAGCCTGAAAAAGGTATCACCTACGGACGGAACCTCCCGTGTGGGCCTTTATGGGAGTACTTTCCCGGGCAAACTTAGGACTCAAAACGATCCGGACGGCAAGGAAATATATGTACAGTATCCTCAAAAGAACCAAATCTTTTTTACGATTGCAGAGTATCAGCCCTGCCCAAAAGGAACAAATTACTGCGGAAAGAGCAAGATTTGCTTGGTTGATCCTTTTTTTCCTACAAAGTGTGCTGGTTAGTGTACTATTCTACTGCACTTACCGTGACTTAGTATGTTCATGAGATCAGCTTGACACCTCATTTGTCTGGCCGAAATTTAATTCAAAAAGTTCTTCGATTCGTATAATTATTTCAGCCTTGGATGAGTGCGAGAAGAAAGGGATTTTTTGTCCACGGTTCTCCAGCTGTATGAAGGAGGGCATCGCAGCTCCCAGCTGTGTTTGTATGAAAGGCTTCAGACGTATAAAAAAGGACAAAGAACAGAAATGTGAAGGTAATGTAAGCCTCCCCGTATAAAACTTTCTGAATCTTTAATACCTCCCGGGACACATTAGAGACTTTATATGGTATCATATTATATAACCAGAACTCAACAAAATGAGGCTTTGAGAATCCTGCTAGAAGGGGGAGAAATTAAACTTAGAAATTGAAGAAAATGCTATGAGGGCTCAACTTGAATCAAGGTATGAGAGGCCGCTGATCACGAGAAAAGAAAAACATTTTCTTTTTCATTCATTCTAACACCTTTAAAATGCAGGTACTAGGTTCTTTGGATGCCCTTTCTAGCTTAACGGTATATTTTATTTTCACTAACGATTTTTGATAGACACCAATGAATGCAAAGAAAAGAAGCACAACTGTTCCATTGACAGAGTGTGTCAGAACCGACTGGGTGGATTTGATTGTCTTTGCCAGAAGGGGTTACGCCTGGACTATGACGGCAAATGTGTTCGTAAGTGTCTTCTAAAGACGTTGTGAAAGAAGAGCAAGTACTAATGGCTATTGCGTCGTTCCTATAATCGGAGCGTGTACACTGTAACGTAATGCATGTGATATTGTTGTCAGTGTTATGGGCTGTGGAGGAATGCTGCGGCTGCATGCTTAAAAGAACAACAGTAGTCAGGGGCGGATCTAGGGGGAAAGTGCAGGGGGTGCGCACCCCCCCCGAGATGACCTGCGGTTTTCTAATACAACTGGTATTCTGCAAAAAAAAACTACGTGGTTTATTGGTGTGGAAGTAGAGCAAAAGACGAGTGCACCCCCTCCTAAAAAAAATCCTGGATCCGCCCCTGAGTAGGGCCAGTTGTACAAGGAAAAATAAGACGCGAACTTTACCTTGTAAACGGTACATTTCGTGTGAATAAGATAATAAGACGCTAAGACGAGTCTTCTCTGAGAAGAGCCCTTAACGCCTGTTCTAAGATAAGACATGTTTTGGCTAAGTCACGTCTTATTTCAGACGAAATTTGCTATTTTTTTTTTGTCTTTCAAAATTGTATGAACAAATCCCCAAAATAAGTTAAATTACATGCATAACAGCAGTAAATTTAAGTAATGGCTAGGGATGGGCGTGGCCACAAAGCACGTGGCTAGCGGGCCCGCTCCGTAAAACCTCTTATAACAGATACATTTCTTATAACAATATTGCAACCCTCAATAAAGCCTTTGATAACAGGAGCGGCTCAGGTCTGACCTTGAACTTTGGATTTATCGGGAAAAAACAGCCAGTTTTCGAAGCGGGGCGTCGAACCAGGACCACTGCCAGCACTTGACCACGCGGTCACGCTGCGTCCCAATGGCACACAATTAGGATGAACATGAATAGTGGGAAGACAATTGATTTTTTCTATTTGTTTCAGCCTTGGACAAATGCGATGAGAGAGGAAACACGTGCTCACCAAATAGCAAGTGCAAAAAAATTCCGAGTGGCTCTTATGACTGTGTTTGTAAAGAAGGCTACAAAGACGTTCACTTTGGAGAGAACCTCAAAAAATGTGAAGGTAAAAAGAAAAGTTGTTGCTTAAAAACAATCAATTGTTAGTTAGCGAAAATGTCTTATACATCATACCGGCATTTTAGTATTCTATCCGTTCACCGGCTCAGAGCCTACACATGAAGAGAGGATGATTTATTTACCTGAGTAACAATTTTTTTGTAACAGATTTTCCATCTGTTAACCATGGTAAAGATAACAAATTAAACTAACAAAAAAGCATGGCAAGGAATGCCAAATTCTGTGTCCAGTAGTTTACCAAAAAGGTAGTATTTCGGTGTTTTGCGTTCAAACTTCTGCGCCCTGGCTTGCGCTCTGTTAGTTTGCTTTTAAGTCTTAAAGTGAACTTGTTTCCTGTCATCCTCGTTTTTTTCCACGAGAACTAGAAGAGATATTTTCTTCTTTCTTTTCTCATTATTTTTCGTAGATGTCAATGAATGCTTGACAGCCGAGGCTAAATGTTCGGGTGACCGCTGCCGAAACACTCAAGGCTCATACACGTGTGTTCCTTGTCTCCCAGGATTCACTGAGAGCGATGAGGGCATTTGTGTCGGTAGGCATGCGCAATCCCTAATAATTATAATAAAGAGGAAATTAACTCTCTCTTAAGTGAAAGAATTCTTTGGAATCCCGGTAGGGAGACGCCCTTGTATTGTTCAGATTGTGGCAATCAGTTTGTTTCTGTTTGATTTGAGTAAACTCAGTCAGCGAATCGGTTAGTACTATATTTCATCGAGCGTCGATTCGTAAACCTGATAAACTAGATATCTGACCCTTTTTGCATGAAAAGGCAATAATTGATAAACCAAACTTAAAAGCTCTTCTTGCCTGCCGTCATTTTATATTTGCACTTTTGTACTTGTAGCAGTTTCTTGTACCTTAATGCTTTCTTAAACTTTTACCGATGTGATACTGACACAAGAGCTTGGGTACGATGCCAAATGCAATTGTTACAAACACTCCTCTTCTGCTACTAGTCTTCATTTATACTCAGGGTTGTCACTAAGATTTCAAGTTGCAGGTTAAATACAACAAGTAGGCGGGGAATCAAACAGCTAGGGATTTCTTTTGGTTCTTATATTCTTCTTCTATTTTCCTATGAAAGTAGCCGGGGGAATTCTCCGGCTCCTGCCTCTTAACGACAGCCCCGTATACTAAGGACGCAACTCCCTCAAATTGGCCACTTTGGGAACAGGGGTAAGAGGTGCGCGACTGTGAAGTGGATGACTGTTGTAAAGAGGTATAAACTAGAGTAAATTTACCTTCCCGGGACCGAAAAGAAAGTAAAAAGAAAAAGGTCGTAAGGCTTGTTTATTATGGAAAGTGCACTTAGCTTATCCAGCTAGTTTACAGTACTCCACTGAAATACTTAGAAACAAATAATTCAAATACAACATAACAGGAATAAAAAACCCCAACTGGCAGGAGGCAACCAGTTGGCTATCTACAAGCGTGGCCGAGGATTTCATCTCGGGACTACCAGGAACAATTCCACAAAGTGGTCAGAGCGGGACTCGTACCCGGGGCTTCCGGATTGCGAGTCCGACGCCTCAGCCACGCTGCCTCCTCAGCCACGCTGCCTCCTTAAAATGTGTACTTCTTATTAAAGCTTATTAATAAGGTAAAGTAATAATAATCTATGAAATTTTGGATTTAAGTTAGGATTAAAGGAGCTTGCAACTGCGATGAAAAAACTGAAGAATGCAAGCGTGGAAAATGTAGATGTAAAACTGCTTTGGGATACAAAAGAAACAACAAAGGCAGATGTGTCAGACCACCGGGTAAGCATATGGCGCCCACTCGACCCCCCGAAATTTTCGTTGTTCTCAGATTATAATTCTGATCAAATATTACCTAACAAAAATATTGCCGAAAAAGAGAATAATTAGGTAGCATAGGCAAAGGCGTTATTGAGCGACGCATGTCAACTAGAAGTGAGGTCTTTTTGACGTTACCAAATTTACTTTTTTAAGTGTCTTTACTATTATAGAGACCAAAACCACCGTCCAAAAATGAAAAAAAGACCTCTCCTGATTGACGTACGTAGTTCAAAAATGTCTTTGCTTAAGTTCAATATTATGTTCCCTAACTCTTAAGGTGATGTTACAGGGGACGATTCTCCACGACGAGATTTAGCGCAAAAAAGCGTTGCAATGTTAGAACAGTGTTGTAATCATTCGAAACAATGTCGCAGCAATATTGAAACGCTGTGTTCCGTGAAAAATCGTCGTTGCGAATCACGGTCTCGTGTAACATCACCTTTGTCATCCGCAGATTGTCTCAATATAGCTGTCAGCGTTTTTTAAAAGTGTGTACCAGTCAAACGACTTTAATTTTAGTGTCAAACTGCAAAACCCGAAAATTGGATTTTGTTTTTACAAGAGTACTGACATTAATTTCCTCCATGTAAAATACTAGCATCACATGTTTCTTTTGTTTGAACCTAGGCTTCAGTCTAAAGGATCAAAAGAGCTCGGCCCACTCTTCATGTGTCTGCGTTCAAGTCATCATACTTATGACTTTTTGGAGCGGAGTCTTTACGGCATAAAGACCTCAACCTGCTACCGACTACCACCTCAGTTCATAGATTTCTCTTTTTTGAGAAATTTTATCGTGCTTCATCAGAGGGAGAAAATAGATGAGGTACTGGAATTGTGTTTGAAAAAATAACGGAGATGAAGAAAAAATAAAAAAAAAAAAAGTTTAAATATTGTTACCTGGTTCGCTGTCTTTGTTTTTAGTAGTTTGGAATTGTGTTTGACAATTATAACGGATCGGATATGTCCCTCCCCACAAATAAGGACAACAAAAAAAAGTGACCAATCAAAAAGAAAGTTTAAATATTGTTACCTGGTGTCGCTGTCTTTGTTTTTACGAAGTTTCAGCGCGATTCGAGTACTTTTACACTTCTTCAAACATTTTGTCGGGTCGGGTAACCCTGCGGTCAAGTCAACTTTCCAGAATTCGGAAAGTACAACGTGATTGGCTAAGCGTGGGAAAGGAATGTTGTCCTCTGTTGAGCAGGCGTTTGTGGGGAGGGAAGAAATACGAGCTCCCCTAAAAACGCCTGCGTGGGAGGCTACGTCGTCAACTGACGTTTCCGTTCTGTTGCTAAAACAGCCCAATTGATTAAGCGCAGCGGCGCTTATTTCATTTTCCTGTTATAGGTGCGGCGCTTATTTCAATTACGGGTAAAACACTGAGGGGAATACAGAGAGAATAAAGTGAAAATATGAACACCTCGAACGGTTACATGAGCAAGGTTTCAAGAGTTTCCCTACATTAAAACTTTAGAACTCAAGAGTTGGTAGAGGTCTTATTTCTGAAGCGATATGGTTTTGATCTCTTCATAACAAGCGCCGTAACGTAGCAAAGGTGGGCGTTAATTTGTAAATACCCAAATTAGCTTCCTTGGCACTTATCAAATTATTTTCGGTAAAGGTGGGCGCTTATTCGAGTAGCGGCGCTTAATCGATCATTAACGGTTACCAACAAATAGGTGCACGACCGGCCTATGGAACGATTTCTACATAGACCGAAATGGCGCTGAGGTGAATTTGTTTGTTTTATTTGAAAAGAAAGAAAAGACGAAAAAAAAGCACCCGACGGATCGAAGGAAAAACGGCAATTTTCAATTAAAGTTACGCATCGTATCAATTAGCACGAAACAAAAGATAATTGGGAAAAGAAAAGAAAAAAATAACTAACGACACAATTCCTCGGTCGAGTTAAGGACCTTACAGTTTGGAAAATATCACAAGAATGAGAAGTGTCACCAAATGGATTGTGTTGGTGCTGGTGATATGTGTTTTCACCCGTAATTCACTGGGCAAAAGTGGAAACAAAGATCGTAAGTTATTTTAATCTTTTGTACTTTTAGAGGCACTTATAACTTCTTAAGCTATAGATGAAACCTGAACATCAAGCGTTTTCTGAGATGATAAGACCTGATAACACCATTTTAGGGGTATTTATATGATACAGGAATGACTTTCATTCCGGAATGAGTTTCGTTCCAGAGGGAAGTTCGTACTGCGTTCACATGATAAAATCGACTGGCTTAGCCCAGCCTATGGAGTTGTGGCTCTTGTGGTCAGATCAGATACACATGCGCAACTTGTCCTAGGCTACACGAAACACGATTTGCAATTTTTAATCTGGAACGAACCTCGTTTTCCGGTCTTTTCAGTTTACATGATACCTGAATGAGAATTTCATTCGGAAACGAAATGTCGATTATTCCATATCACGTAAACAAATACTGAGAAACGGTGGAAGTGGAATGAACATGTTCCAGAATTTGAAAGTCATTCCGGTATCATGTGAATAGCAATGTTAGTATAGCCCTGACCCTTATTCATTTGAGAACTATAATTGAGAAGAAGATAAAAAGATTGCCGAATCCTTTTGCAGATATTTCCCGGGACTCAGCCAAGAAAAACTGCAGAGTGGCGATGGAAAACTTCCAACGAATTTTGACACAAAGTGAAAATGATCTAAAGAAAGGAGGAAAAGTTGCAATGGCAGCTGGGCTAAAAAGAAATTTACTTCTCGCACTGAAGAAAGTAGCTGAACAGAAATGTAAAGGTAAGCTTTTAAGAAAACGTTGCGGATCTTATAGGGAAGGGGCCCGGGCAGGGGGGGGCGAATCTCACCTTATTCTTAGACAAACTGAAGCCCACAGAAATGAGAAAAAATATTTTTGAGGCCGCACATCCTTTCTTCCAAGGGTCTAAATGAACGGGTTCCCCGCTCACTTTAAGATCTGAATCCGCCCCTGAGAGAGAAATGTTTTAAAGTAACTCGGTGGAAAAATCATTAAACTTGAAATCTCCCCAAATGTTAGTACGAGTCAGATTTTGCCTCGCAACACTGGTTCAACTATGTGCCTTAATCGATTCGCTTATCGTTCTTCTTGCGAGAAATATAGCGCTTGTTAGTTAATCATCTGTACTTAACTTTCCTAAAGGAATCACTAGTTTATAGTTTATATAGAATTAAAGGCGTCGTTTCTTTAAGGGATACACGATTTAGTGTGTTAATGTCCTTTTAAAGAACAAGGCCTCGGAGTTTTTTTTAAAGAGTTTTTATTGATTTAGATCAGAGAGACGGAGTTGAGTAATTAATGAACTATTTAAAGAGTCTTATAAGTTCTATTTAATATTCTTCGAGATGCGGGTTTGTCGCCTAGCAAAACAGTGATGTAATTACCAGTAGTACTTATTACTATCCCCTACGTATAGGTATAAATGAATGCTCTACCAAGACGCATGACTGTGATAAAAATGCTGTCTGCAAGGATACCGATGTGGCCTTCTCTTGCACCTGTAAACCAGGATATAAAGGAGACGGACTGAAGTGTACAGGTAAAAACTTAGTGACTTACTTAATTACAACTTTTTTAAAGGTAACTAGCCAAACCGCGATAGCGTGACTCAACGTGTCCAGTTTATAATAAATAGGACTATCCCTATTTTATCAGACATATCTCAACACAAACAAGACTTTATTAAAAAAGATGGTTCAATGAAATTTTCCGGGCTCAGCTTACCAAACGATTCCTTGTATTAGTTAATCAGTGTAACAAGAACTCTACTAAGTCAGTGTGTTGCCGTAAGTCGTAGGGATTTTCCTGCTGGAAGAACGTTCTTAACATTTGCGGCTATATCTAAGTTTCAAAATCAATAGCAGCAGCACACTACTACGTACATACGAGTAACTGGAAGCCTGGTGCGAGCGTTTAATATAACCCCTCGCACTTCATATTTGGAGGGCTGGGTTCAAGCCGCGTTCCTTACTTTAACAAGAGTGCCTCTCTTCACCCTGGTGTATTGGTGTATAATTTAATTTAACTGGAAAAAAATCATTGCAGCTATGGATGAGTGCGTAAAGGCAGGAGATGTTTGTCCGTCAGGACTGCGATGCCTACAGCAAAGAGACGGATCTTACGCATGCGCATGTGATGCTAAGGGTTTCAAGGTTGTCGGAAGACGAGATGCGAGGACTTGTGCAGGTAGAATTTCTTGTTATGTCTTATATGATCAATCCTATTTAATATTTTGTTAATATATCTTAATATATCTTACTTGGCAAAAAATCATTGCAGCTATGGATGAGTGCGTAAAGGCAGGAGATGTCTGTCCGTCAGCACTGCGATGCCTAAAGCAAACAGACGGATCTTACGCATGCGCATGTGATGCTGAGGGTTTCAAGGTTGTTGGAAAAGGAGATTCGAGGACCTGTGCAGGTAAAATTTCTAGCTATGTCTTATATGATCAAGCCTATTTTGTATTTTGTTAATATATCTTAATATATCTTACTTGCCAAAAAAATCATTGCAGCTATGGATGAGTGCGTAAAGGCGGGAGATCTTTGTCCGTCAGCACTGCATTGTCTAAAGCAAGGAGACGGGTCTTACGCATGCGGATGTGACGCTAAGGGTTTCAAGGTTGTTGGAGAACGAGATACGAGGAATTGTGCAGGTAAAAGTTTTAGCTATGTCATGGACGACCATGCCTCTTTTATATTTTACATAACTATAGAAAATACAGATTGATTATTGAAAGAAAGCTTCTGGTACATGTATTAGTCTATACAAAACACCGGCAGCGGCAGCCGCAGCTCAAAACAAAAGACCGCCCCATGTAAGTGAAATGTCACTATTATTGTCGCAGATATCGATGAATGCAAGGAAAAGAAGTTCAGTTGCCCTATGGATAGGGTGTGTAAGAACCGACCAGGTGGATATGAATGTGTATGCAAGAAGGGGCTACGCCTGGACTATGATGGCAAATGCGTTCGTAAGTATTCATATCAACAAAAGTAACTATGGTAAAGCACGTCACTCAATGACTGTGTGTTGTTGAAATTTTGGTTTTTGTTTTTGTGAAAAATAAGAAAGCCCCAGGGCACTGAAAGTCCGCAGCAAGATCAGCAAGTGAGAGTAGAAGAGCCGCTTCTTGACGATTCACAAATCTTGAAAGTACCATTGCCAGAAATTAGGGACAAGATGGCGGTTGCGCGTGCGCACTAAGGCCACAATGGCTGCGAATTCGTATAAGAAAATGTATGGAGATAAGGAAACTTTTTCAAATATATCGATTATGAGCTCACGGGTGTTCGGTGCCCGACTCGAAACATGTTAAGTGCTGTGTAACCCTCGCATCTGGGTTAAAAATAGCTAATTAGAAGTAGGTTTACTTACTTCCTGACGTGGCCACTTTTATTCCTTGTTGTACGCTCCATTTCTCCATACATTGTCTTAAAATCTTGCCGAAGTCATGCGAAATACTCGTCGATTAGAGGATAAACCCTTCACTGAAGTAAATTTGCCCGACTCGATATCACTTCTGCGATGGAAGATGTTTCCAAAACAGTCGTTAAAAGGACGATTTTTGCACTGCAAAATACTTCCAAAGGCGCATTATTTCCCTCAGTTTTCCATCTGTAGTCCAGTAATGGACGCCATGGTTGCGAATGACACATTTCGGTCGGACACAGCTTCACAACTCCGAACCCCACAGAATCGCCATTTTGTTTGTTGCTACAACTCCAGAGATGCTTCACGGGATATAAACTAGGTTCCAGGCATTCAAAAATCCTCGATTAGCCTACCAGGCTTGGTTTTAAAACAAAATTGTCACGAAAATGTCACGAAAGGTACATCCGCGTACTGTTTTGTTGCTATCAGCCGCTCGGCCGCGTATAAACCTAACATTTTCTTGCAAGGTGTTTAATTCCAGCTTTTTTCTTCGTAAAACAGATCCACAGAGCTCAAATTATTTAAAAAATCGCAAGGGATACGCTTTCCCTGACTACGATAGTTTTTGTCCGCCATTTTGAAAATGAGATTCCGCTGACAATTGATCACGGGCGCGAAATGTCCACGATTTCTGGCAATGACCTAGGAATGTCGGGGTTGTAAGATTGCATGTAAACTCGGGTTATTGTTTTTTAAAATCCTCAGGCCCTTATTCTTCTTTAATCCCCAAATCTCGTCAATAACGTAGCTCCAAAATCTAATATGATAACAACGTAAATGCCAGAATTACATTTTATTTGATAACATCATGATCAAGGTATTGCAAACACTATATTTGCTTCTGGTATATAATATGAATCGTTTCCAAGGATTCACTTGAAATCTATGTTCTTTTACAGTATTGACCAAATGCGGTAAAAAAGGACTGTCGTGCCCACAATACAGCAAGTGCAAAAAATTACCAAGTGGGTCTTATGACTGTGCTTGTATGAAAGGTTTTGAGGAAGTTAAGGAAGAAGGAAAGCTTAAACTTTGTGAAGGTAAAATATTCTTTAGTAGATTGTAAGATTATTTCTGATTATACGGATATAAATTTATTTTAAAAACAAAGCCCAATCAAGTTATACAGGTGTTTATGATCAGGACCGATAAAAAATGTTTAACTTGCATTTTGTGTGTTGTAAATGTAACAAAACATTGTTCGTAACTTTCATGGCAGATCTTGAATTAGCAGACGGTCGTAAACGTTTTCGTCTCTATAAAACTTCAACAGAATTGGGTTCCTTGAAAAGGCTCGAGCACAATCGAACCCTTTGCAAAAGCCTTAGGGCAAAGTAAAAGGTGAAACTGTAAAGGTTCGCCCCGTCCAAGGGGGGGAAATCAGGGAATCAGGGAAGTTTTTGCTTGTGGAATCCGGAATCGAGTGCTTTAAAATGAAGAATTTAGCTCAAGGAATCCGGAATCCCCGCTCACGATTGAAATAATCCAAGTTCCACGGACAAGGAATCCGGAATGTATTCGTTGTAGAATCCAGGTCCCAGTTGTTCAAAGGCCGATTATAGCCCTTAACCCAGGTTTCTTTTTCTTGTGTTCAAAAGCAGTCTTGGACAATTTTCTATGTTATTTTTAGAGCTTCCAATCATCAACTTGTAGACAAAAAGAATTAAATACGTTTTAAGCTTTTATATCTAAATTCGAATCTCGCACTAACCCTGGGTGATCTTAACCCGGCTTTGAACAACCCGGCCCAGAATCTAAGACTGTTTTGGAGGCGCCCTTACATGGGGCTAAGGTTGTGTCCATCTTGTGTAACTCAGAACTACACAGGTATCACACTTTTTAATCTTATACTTCCTTCACGTAGATATCAATGAATGTCTAACACCTGAAGTAAACTGCTTTGGAGACCGCTGCAGAAACACTCCAGGCTCATACACGTGTGTCCCTTGTCTCCCGGGATTTTCGGTGAACGATGAAGGCTTTTGCGTTGGTATGAATGCGCAGAAACAATTCTGCGACACAAATTTAATTGTTTTAAACTTCTAATTAAAAAAAACTGAATAGAATTAGAGATTTTCTAATCATTCCTCTATCTGACAAACATCACCCTCAACGTCACCACCTTCTCCTCAGTCACAATCATCATCATCATCATCATCATCACTATTATCATCATCATTATTATGATTATTATCATCATCATCATCCTCCTCCTCCTCCTCAACATTATCATCATCATCACCATCGCTACAATCTCCCATAACAACACCATCAACATGCTACAAGGGAAAGACGTTTTTGAGCGACGCACGTCAATCGAAAGTGGAATTTTTGCATCCTTTCTTTTGCCAAAATGTTTGTGCAAATCGTCTCTATAAGCGTAAAGACACTTAGCAATACAAATTTGGTGGCGTCGGCTCCTGTCAAGGCTTATTAAAAGAGAAAAAGGCTCACTTCCGGTAAATCTGCGTCGCTCAAAAATGTCGCTGCTTAAACTCCCTTCTGTGAGCTGTTGTCAACGTGAAACACCTTTTTCTTTTTTAGCAATAGTTAAAGGAGCGTGTAACTGCGATGAAAAAACTGAAGAGTGCCGGCGTGGAAAATGCAGATGTAAAAGTGCATTGGGATTTAGAAGAAATAACATGGGTCGCTGTGTCAGACGTTCAGGTGAGTAACTTTTCCTATGAGTTAGCCTCTCGTGTCCACTATCTTACGCAATGCAATCTCGGGCGTATGGCATGAATAAGTGCACAAGTAATTCTAACCAGCAGTACCTTTTCGTTGTAAAATTTCACGCTTCGTCTTAAGTAAGCCTTTGTGGCTGTGTGTATAAAATGCCTAATTGTTTGGAAAGGAGGATAAGATCTTTTAACATCACTGTTGTTTAACAGTAATCTCATGGTACATTTCTTCACATTTTGGTCGACTTTTTGTTTTGTCCTCTCTGTCCAACAAGTACCTGTGTATTACAAATAAATTTAACATGCTTCTATTAAATGATTTCTTTGTCTTTAATCTAGGTCCTACTTTAGGCGTTCGTCCGCCTTCGTCCAGTTCTTCCTATGTCTACAGTCAGGTGACAGTACTCATCACTGCATTTCTTGGTAGCCTGGCCTTTAAGGCCTGGTCATTGAACTGAATCTCTTTCATTTTACTGCCGCTGAACTTTTCCTATTTTCTTAAAAGAATCTGGCATAATTTCGTAAAAGGAGTCAAGGCTGATTTCTCTGATAAAGTGCGCACCTTTCTTGTTTCAACAAACAGCAATTCAGTAATGGATAACCGGTGAGATTCTCAATCACGTGACACTTTTCTGCTGACCAAAGCGTAATGACCTTTTACGATAAGTTTGGGAACTTTCTACAAATAGCACCTAACACTGATAGCAGCTTGCAGCCTGAGGATTAGGGGGAGCATCAAGGCTTTGACGAGAAGTGGGAGAGCAAGGGTAGGGGGGGAGGGGGGGGAGTTGAAGCTGGGGGCGAGTTCTAGTTTATCGTACAAGTAACAAAATTAAATGTGTAATTGCTAATTGTCTTATTTCTAAAGAATATCTAATATGATATAAAATATAAAAAACTCCCCACGGTAGCTAAGAAACGCGTTTTTATTGGAGAAACAAGCACCAGACAGTCAAGGCAGTCAATTAAACATTGTAAGTAAGTGAATATCATTATAATAAAACCCCTTTAACAAACTGAAGTATTCAATTCCTTTGAGGTTCTGCTAGCTCCGATTAAAAGAATAAGAAAAGGCAGTAGTTTATCGTAAATGAATTCTCAGGCCCACTGCTTATACCACTAGGGCCAGGCCCCCGAGGTATCCCGTGAGCATGACACCGAGGTAAATGCTGAAGGAAGAAGAATGGGTCCAACCAGTTGATAGTGCGAGAACTATGAAACAAAACAAGGCAAAACGGCGATAAGTAAACTGGCGCTGACTTTTGAAAACGTAGCTGTCAGTAACAATTAAATCGTGAATTTAAATCGTCGTTCCAGGCAATAAAAAATAAAGACAAATGAACTAGCTGCTTCCTACTCACAACGCGAAAAATAGTTGGTAGAGGTTTACCTTTAATACATTTTGCTTTTGGTCTTTCTTCGTGGCATATCTGGTTTTCTTTGCAAGTTATATCCGCACATGTGATAATGGCTATTAGAAGAAAAATAGAGCTTGTAAATAAACTTCAGACACTGGTCGTGTATATGTATTTGAAGAACAAAAAACCTAACGTTAACAAGAACAACATTTTTATGTAAGAACGTCCACGGCTCAAGATTAACGTGCAGTTACAGCTCGCTCCACCGCTTTCAAGAACTTATGAGAGGCCGACTTGTAGCAAGTCTAATTTCTTGTTACATAGGAGTCGTTTAGGGCTTTCTACAAGTTTCTCCACAACTTTTTGGCAACTTCTCGTGTTTACAGCAACTTTTTGCATCCTGGACAATTTCTAGTTCGGCCAATTCTGAGATATCGGAGCAACTTTTAGTGCTTAAATTGGCCTTGATTTCATATTTCACAATGTTTTAGTACACAATTTATGAATTCCCCGTGAGAAAGGAGCCAGATCCTCCCAGCTGGGGCTAAGATCACTATGGGCACAAGATGAACGTAGCCGGGCTGCTAGGTCAGCGGCTTTTTTAAAAGAAAATTCAAAGTGGCTGACGAAGATTCACACTCGATTGACTCTAGTGTCTCAGTAGAAGAAGGTCACTCAGATTTCCAGAGAACGCAAAGTGTAAAAAAATCCAGCTGATAAAAAATATAGCTTTAACTCATACATTTTTCGTTTTTTGAGGACAAGATTATTGAGCAACGCTGGTTACGCTTCAAAATTGCACAGAATGCTTGAAAAACTTAGTACTTTTGTTGTAAAATTTGCATACTTTTGCATTAGACCAAATTATAGGAGAGAGCAACAAAAAAAGGTTTTCGTTTTTTTGAGCAACTTTCGATTCAAAAAGCAAATTTGATTTTATTTTAGCAACTTTTGAGCAACTTTTTGAGAAATCTCGTGCAACTTGTGGAAAGCCTGATGACTTGCCACTACCCAGATTTGGGTGCCTCTGATTGGTTGAAGCAAATTGTTTAACTAGCCAATCAGACGGTACTACCCAGATCTGGGTATACTGACGCGTCGATAGTATGGAATTTCTGCCCGCGCTTGTTCCTCAGACGTTTATATTTCGCGGGAAACGCACAAGGAAAATTTCCCGGATTCCAGAATCTGGATTACCTAACATAAAGCGATGCCTTAGTTGCTTACTAACATTTAAAACCACCCACCTTTACAGTCACTTCCATTCTTTACGAATCCTTTTTTGCATTGGCATTCATATGATCCTGCTCGGTTGAAGCATTGTTTACCAGCTCCAACACACGGGTTCTTTTTTCCTTCGCATTCGTTTATATCTGTCAACAGTAAAAGCTATTTCGTTAGGTAGATGAGCGCTCCTTTCAAAAAATTTGATATATCTTCGATAAATAAATATAAAGTAAAAACATTAACTAACTTACTGACCGTAACTAACAAACTAACCATTAACTAACTAGCTAACTAATTAACTAACTAAATAAATAGATGAACAAATAATGATTTGTTGATAGGACCTCAACGCTCTCAATGCGGTTCCTCATCTATCACAAACCTAAAAAATTGGCCCCAGTTGTTCAGAAGTTGGATAATGCTATCCGATGGATAAATCACTATCCAGCGGATTACTTAATAACTGTTTTACCCAATACGTATTAGCTGGATAGTGATTTATGCGATGGATAGCGCTATCCAACTTTTGAACAACCGGGACCAGGATTTTAAAAGATTGTTTTTAAGGAGCCAGAAAAAGGGGAAAAAAGTAAAACTGTCTTAAGAAATTATAATTACCACAAGAAACTTTGAAGATTATCCGAGAAGTACAAAATGTTGTAAGTCACGGATCTCAGTATTTTTTCTAATTTTAATAACAAGGCATGATACGTACCAATACATTTGTCTTCCTCTTCAGAGTATTTATATCCATCATTACAAGAACATTTTGAGCTTCCTTTTGGACAGTCTCCATTCCCGTATTTCTTGCATTTACAGTCTGCAAAAAGTCGACCGCCCAGTGAGGTTTTATATCATATACATTGTTTGTAGGTACGGCTGCACCGGGATAAAGGGGATGATTGTCGAGCAGCTTGACTTATAGAGGGTGGGATGGGGATGTATCAAAAGAATGTCGAGCTTTTTGTCCAAGAATAAGCAAAGTTCTATTGAAGGAAAGCAAGTTAGTAATATGGAGAACATTTCTAAGTAGTAAAGTGGCTAATTATAGATCTACCTCGTCCTCAAATCTTTTTCCCTCAAAACAATTGGAGAGTAGGGAAATGAAAAATGCCCCTCTCATTTTGTAAGGGAAAGCTCAAGGGAAGAGTGACTGTAAAGTATGATTGCATTGGGATTTATGGTGACTAGTTTAGAATAGGGCGATATAAGATGCAACAGCACACGTGGATAAATTATGACACTTCAAAGTTCTACCAGTATTCGAGTAATAGCTGAAGGACTGCATATTAAAGGGAACCTCCACTCTTACTACAGAATAAGTTTAAACCGAATAAAATTATGTTGATAAACAAATTTGTTCGAAATTTGTCTTAAAAAAAGTGTTTATATCAGGAAAAGTGAATTTTAAAATCGCTTATTTTCACTTTCAAATTTCGCGGGCGCCGCCATCTTGAATAATTGTGACGTGTTACGGTTGCTCTATTGTTCTGACACAAACAGCTTTTGTTTAATAGCAACAGGGCAACCGTAACACTTCACAATATTATTCAAGATGGCGACGCCCGCAAAATTTGAAAACAAAAATAGACCAATCTAAAAGTTATTTCTTTCGGATACAAACGTTTTCTTTAAAAATCTTTTAGATTGACTTGACTGTAACAGTTATTTCCTGTGATTTAAAGTTATCTTTTTGTTGAAGTGGAGGTTCCCTTTAAGGTTGGGTGCTCGAATCTCAGTTATCAGTTTAATTTAAGCTCATTTTTAGCTATTTGCTAATTCCTTTTAATTTTAGTGGTATCAGATCCCATTTAAGAAGGTCATGAATCTGAGGGTTTACTGTTAGTAGGATTTGTCATAAATTAGCATCATCTATATTTCTGACTGTGCAAATGTATTGCACTAGTCGCTAGATTCTGATCAGTACGTAACCAACAGTGTTCAAGGCCTTACCACAGAAGCCGCTCTCGTTCGTTGGTTTGCCGTTTTCGCAAATGCATTGATGGCTTCCCACAGTGTTGTTACACTTTGCAAAGCAAGGTTTCATTTCGGAACATTCGTCGATATCTGTAGATTATAAATAAGTATCCCGATAGCTTTTATCTATATGATACATAAATTCTTTGTATATTGCGCCTTAATATTAAAATATATAAGTTCTCCCCATGACAAAAAAACAAACAAACAAAAAACTCATACTCGTACTATTTGCATGCATGTTTTCAGCGAGCACATAGCAAATTCCTAGAGTTAACCATGAACGCTGTCTTCAACCTGGCTCCCAGGTTCCTCTTCTTCCCATTCTCTCTTGGTAACGGTGGGAAGAGAAATTCTGAAAACGAGGAAGGGTTGTTCGTCGACGCAGCTAGCGTCCCTTTCGTAAACGGTCGTTGCCATTTTCTATTAAAAACAATGAAAATCGCAACCCAGGGTTGAACCTGGACTTTTCATATCCTAAATTCAAAACTTGGGTTTCAAAGTAGTTCTTTCTAAGACTATTCAAAAACGTATTATTTGTCTTGTAATTTAATCTTGGGAATGTACTACATCTATCGTGACTAAAGGCCTGGTTACCAATGGTGACGTCGACCGTTAAAAATAGCAACGACCGTTTACGATGGGGAGAAATAGGCTTTGTCGACCCTTCAAGGAGAGTTCACCATACGCCGTGATTTACAGAGGGTCTATTCTATATATCAATGTACTAAAGCGGCAATTCACTTCTCCTAAAGGAAAAGGGGAAGAAAACGAGGAAAATTTGTGATACTTACCTATGCAGGCTAGGCTTTTGTTTCCAGTCATCCTAAAGCCACTTTTGCAAACGCAGGCAAAAGAGCTGTTTTCCTGCTTTTTGCATTCTGAGAGACGGGGACAAAAATCTCCTTGCTTAACGCACTCATTCAGAGCTGAAATAAAATTTAGTTGTAATTAGTTCGTTAGTCATATTAAGAACACGACTCTGCCGGGAAGTTGTAGTTACTGAAGTGATTTATTCCCTCTCTTTTTACCTGATTGTTTTATTTATCTTTTTGCGGGTTGAGCAGATTGATTCAGATTTGGTTTAAACCCCAAAGGTTAGCACCCACAATTTTTCACCATGCAGCTAGGAACTTGATATCACAGGTGTACCTCTAATTTATACATTTCAAAGCCTAAGAAGGCCTGAACCTACGCTTAAGAGACTTAAACATGCCCCCCATTTTCGCCGTTTATTTATCAATTATTCCTCTGGCCCTCACGGCCTCTGAGTCAAAATCCCATGAGGCCGAAGGTCGAATGGGCTATTGACTCAGAGGCCATGAGGGCCAGAGGAATAATTGTTTAAGTAAAATCCAACTAGCTGGTCAAAAATATCGAGAATAAAAAATTTTTAGCTAGTTAAAGCTAGACTTTAATTCCTTTTTGCCGCCAAAAAGCCCGCATTTTTCGCTACCACGGCTATAACGAATAGCCTAGTAGTAGCTCAACCAATCAGAACGCAGCATTGATAATAGACCACTAGTTGGATTTTACTAATTAAGTTTAGTCGGTTCTATTCGTCTACATGTAACTTTGGGCGTCACCTCCGCAGTTGACATTGCAAGTTGAAAAGATCAGAAAAGCTGGATACAAGATAAAGATAGTGTGACGACCAATTACACAACATCTAGTGACCAACATATTCCAAACTTTGGAATGTGCTCCTTTAGCTGAGGAATGTTCAAATCTTACCGATACACTTGTGGCCATTTCCTTCGTAACCTTTCTTACAGTAACATTTGAAGTCTTTACAGGTGGCTTGTTTATGGCAGTTACGATCGGTTATACAGGGTACACGCCCATCTTTATCGACTGTTAAAAAGAAAACAACGCTTCAAAGTCATTTCAGACAATTACGTTCAATCTTGCTTCTATATATAAAATATTGCGGTGAAACCTAAATAAGTGACGTGTTCGCTCCATTTTGTTTCATATATCTTTAAAAATGTTGGACTTCTTCGCATCCGTTGACGTTAGCGAATTTTTTTTATTCATTTCAACACGGCTGCGTAATTTTATCTAGATGCAACTCAAATTGGCTGAAAGGTTTTATTCAAATAGTTTAGCGCTTAACCCAATTTGTAAGTGTTAATTGACAAACTTGTTATTTTTATCGATGACTTATTAATAACTCTCCTTCTAAGGATCTGTTTACATGGAGGTGAGGGGCCCCAGGTAGGTGTGTGTGTGGCGGGTCACCCCACCTAGTATGTAAATGTGATCAAATTAAAATGAGAGATTATATGGAATGGCGGGCTACCCCACCTATGCGCGTTACCTCACCTACCTGGGGTCCCCCGCCTCCATGTAAACAGGCCCTAAATTAGCAATATATCACTAATTGGCACAAACTAACAAGATATGATCTCCAAATTTATGCCATGTTTAACTAGAGGAAGCGCTAGGTCGCCTTCGGTTTTTTCAGCTTCAAAGGTAAACTCGTTACAAGAGAATCTCCCTATCCGGTGTTGGTAAAGACCTGGGAACGACGTTAAATCACCGGGTCCCTTCAGCTTAATTTACCTTTTGGGCTTAGACAATGTTTATAGTGAGCGCCATTTGGTCTTCCGAAAAATCCTTCTTTGCACTTGCAGGTGTATTCCAAAACTCCTGGTATTTTAGATACTATCCCTTGAGTAATACAGTAAGAGTTCTTATAGTGTCCGCAGTCGCACTTTTTCTTGGTGTAATGCCCACATTTGTCACATACAGGACTCCACTGACCTCCAGGATGATCTGTCAAGTGAACAGAAACGTTTATTCTTCTTGTGCCCATATTGAGAATTGTATAATTTAGATAAATGCCCATATATTCTTAGACTTTCAGTAAACTAAACAGGGATTCCCGTTGGTTGATTCATGGTCAGGTGGCATGGCCTTGACTAAATTTAACGTGTCCCAATCGGAATACAAAGATCGAGATACAACGGCGATACGTGATGAGAGCATGGTAGAAAGGGGCGTGACAAAAGGTGGGGAAAAACACTGCCATTTTTCAATCTTCCAGTGTCAGTTTTCACTTTCACGATAAAATATTTCCTCTCTTGGTTTTCTTGAAGTGCTATCCTTTTCTCTTACGAAACATTTTGTAAATTAGCTTCCCTTTGGTTCGTCTTCCTAACATGGAACGGTGCACCATGTATTTCCATTACCGATAGTGTTAGGTTTTATACAGTGGCATTCGTTCCTAATACATGAATTATTTCCGGGTCTCGCTGTGGCTCCCTTTCCTTA